ACTTTTTGAAAGTTTGATTGTGCCTCCCCAACATAAAAAGTCTGCGTCCGCCCCTGCCTCCCATCATTCCACCACCAATTGGAAGAATCAGCAGAACAACCTCGCTTCACCGCCGAATTACACCAACAACAACCTTGTCTCACTCCTTTCTATCACCTCCAACCCCGCAATGTTCAGATTTCTTCCTAGAAGAATGTCAATCGCGAAGTCCGCGCAATAGGGTCCGAGTTTTGCAAATTTCGGCGCCATCCGGCCGTCCCACGATCGTGGACCACATGGGTTAGCCTCCTCTCCACCGGTGCACCTTGACCAACCATGGGTCAATGCCAATTTTACATAAAGGTTTGAATTTTAACCTCGGTGCCTTCATGGGGATCTCAAGATTTTGAATTTTATAGAGATATACAACATGATTCTGCATATAGGGCCCAAATTCTTCAGGAAAATACAATTTTACCACGGGTTTATTTGCTTCTTTTTTATTGTGTATTTTATGCTGGCTGCTATTTGGATAAATATTTTGTACAAGAAGAGATTGACTGCTTTTAGAATTCATTTCTTTATGCTTGCGGTTGTGATCTTGAAAGCCTTCAGTTTACTGCAACTCCGAATACTGTATGTGGTTCTGGGGATTTTTCAATGGTACCTCCATTTCCTAAATCGCCAGAGCGCCACCTTTAAAAATATCTGATTCTTTTCCACCCCAATTTGAATTCAAAGGTGTTCCAATTGGAGAAACGGCAGCTCCAAATACTGTAGGTGGTTCTGGGGATTTATTCGGTATGCTACAGTCTATGGAATGCTTGCATGAGACCCAAATTCTTCCATTCTTGTCCAAGAGTTTCGATTTGGTGGATGATCCTTCATTGGATTCTATAATTTCTTGTGGAGCAAAGGGTGACATATTTGTTGTGTGGGATCTTGTGGAATTTGCTAGGATTATTTTGCCAAGGAATTTCAAGCACAACAATTTTTCAAGTTTTGTTCGGCAACTTAATACATATGTGGGTATCCATTTAATTTAACTCTGGGATGTTCATGTTCTTGTAATTGTATTTAGCTTGATGTAAATGAAGATGTAGAGCATTTTTAGTGCTGGTGGATCACAAGCTTTTTGTATTGAAATATGGAATGATGTAATTTTGTATTTAATACATTTTATTTCTTTGAGCAATTTTAATGTTGGATGAACTTTTTTGTATCAAGATTTTTGGTAATCTTGGTGATATTTTGGGATAGTTATAGTGATGTGATCATATTAGT